TCAGCTGTAATCCTAATGGGTTTTCCTTTATATGTGACTTATTGTTTCTCTTTTGCAGCTTTCAGAATTTTCTCTTTGTTTTGTGCGTGTAGTGTTTTTACTACGATGTGCCGGGGAGAGTTTCTGTTCTGGTCCTGTATTTTTGGTGTTCTGTATGCTTCTTGTATTTGTATGGGCATATCTATTTTTAATTTTGGGAAATTTTCTTTTACAATCCTGTTGAAGATCTGTTCCATACCATTATCTTGGGCATTTCATTCATCCTATCGGTGAGGCTTTCTCCTCTCGTTTCTAATTGGGTTATTGAGTGTTTCACTTCCTTCTTCATTTCAGCCTGAGTATTCTTCAATATTTCTAACTCTTTTCTGAGTGCATTCAGAAGTATATCCCTATCTTCCTTCAGTTCTTTGATTTCTTTGTTTGAGTGTTCTTTAAATTCACTGAATTCTTTTATCACGTTTATAATTGTTCTTTTGAGTTCCATGTCCTGCACTATCTCTAGGGGGTTCTCATTGTACTCCTCTAGAGGACTCTTGGTGTTTGGTAGGAATATGTTATTTTGATTTTTCATGTTATTATTTTTCTCTGTGATTTTGACATGTGAATTTCTTCTGTAGTTTCTGATTCTTGTGTGAGACTCAAGCCTTCAAGTTTAGGTCTGCTTCTTTTTGTGAACTTTATGTGTCTTTGTGGTTTACTTTTTGGGCATGAAAAGCTGGTTCCTCTAAGCTTCTGGTTCTCTTTTGATTTTATATTGGAGTGGCCAGATTGCTTTTGTCTTCAGGAGTTCCCACAGAGGCCCAAGTCAGATGAGGATCAGATGTTCTCAGACTTTCTTCTAAGGTCTGTATCCCTCCAGGAAAGATTTTGTCCTCACGAATTTGGGGTTTGGACTGGCCTCCGAGCCGGGGCCCAGGAAAGATGCTGGTCTAGGGCAGCTGGTGGCTCTGTTGCCCAGAGATGCAAAGGAAGATGGGGGCAGGAAGTAGCCTCAAGGGTTCCTGGGGACTGTACTGAGGAGCTGGGTTGGTCTGGATGCAAAGGATCAGGAAGAGGAAAGGTCAGCCCCTGTGTCCAGGAAAGAGGCTTGTGGGTGGTGCAGGCCCAGAGAAGTAGAGGGAGGTGAGGGCGGGGCCAGGCCCAGAGTGCTCCTGGGGACGGAGAAGGAACTGAGTTGGTCTGGATGCAAAGGATCAGGAGGCAGTGGTGGTTCCCCAGGTGTCTGGGGCACCAAGACAAGGAATGGGACAGGACCCAGGCTAGAAGGAGAGACCGGCCTGGAAGATGGGAGGGTGAGTAAGACTGGGGGAATCAAGGCATGGAGGGCGCAATTAACTTACTGGGAGAGAGAGGCCTGCAGGTTGGAGAGAGGCCTGTGGGTCTTGGAGGCCCAGGGATGCAGAGGGAGGTGAGCACTTTTCAGCTTCTTTAGCTCTATCTTCTGTTATAAATATTTATTCTTGAAAATAGTATATTTATATGACTCGATTTTATTTTCTTGTAGACATCTCTTGACTTCGTTCTATGAGGAGAAAGATTCAGCCTTCTTACTTTGTTGTTAGTTTCCTTCTTGGTTTACTTACTTGTTTTGGTGGAACTCTTCCTTCAGTAGTTTTCTGACAGAGGACTCACAGTAGGTAAAACGTTTTGAGAACCTTCCATTTTAAAAACATGTTTATTCCTACCCTGCTTCACTCGATAGCTTGGAATAAGTGATGCTAGATTGGAGAACCTGTTCCTTTAGACGTTTGAAGGTGATACTGTAGAATCGAATGTAGAGTTTGGAAAACCTTTTCCATAACGGGCTGCATCAGTCCTTTTTGGGCTGCATGGTTTCTGCTGAGACTTCAGCTCTGCTGGTGTAGTGAATAGGGCAGTGATAGTCTTTGAACAGGTGTGGCTCTGTGCCAGTAACACTAGAGAAACAGGCTATGTGTAGGATGTGTCTGTCGGCCGTAGTTCGACAATTCCTTTCTTGAGCTTCTACAGTTGTTTAGGAGTTTAAAAGTCTTTGTCTTTCGTCCTTGACTTTTTTCCTCCTCTCAGAAGCTTTTAATGCCATTTCCTCCTTAAAAAACCCTTATTTCTCTTACAATTTATGCTTTTATTCATCGCTGATAAATCTTAATAAAGTTTGAGGAGGAATTGGAGTTACATGTTAAATGAGCTGTGTTTATCTGGAAATTATTGCTCTTTGTAAGAATAATCATTCTGTATATGTTTATTTTTAGTTAATCTTACAATTAAGTGGAAGCCTCTAAGGAAACCTTTATCAGTATACTGAGTTTCTGAACAGTAAGGGTGACTGTGTATTCAGCTGCTGCTTTAAACCTAGTCATAGTTTACCTAAATGACTTGAATAATTAAAAAAACACAAACAAACCAAGAAAGACAAGAGCTATGTAAATGAGGATTTAGTTGCAATACAAATCTTTTTAAACTGTTAGAATTATTTTTCTTTGAAACATATATTTCCATATGGAAAATTTCTTTTAGGCCTATGAAAGAAAAACTACATTTTCCTTCAAATTGAGAAAAGAATGAATTTGGTAGGGGTGTAGCTCAGTTGGTAGGATGCTTAGCATCCAAGAGGCCCTGGGTTCGATCCTCAGTATCACATACAATGGGTGTCATGGTGGCACATGCCTGTAATCCTAGTACTTGGGAGGTAGAGGCAAAAAGGTCAGAAGTTTAAGTTCATCCTTGATATAAGCAGTTTGAAGCCATCATGAGCTACCTGAGACCCTGTCTCAAAAACAAGTAATTTATTGAACATTATGATATTAGTGACACAAATAAATTAGAAAAACAATTTGTAGTCTATTCATATGTATATATTTTAATTTTCTGTTTTGTATATTTTCCTCTAACCACACAGTTTTCCACAAATGTAATAATGTAGTAAAATATTTTCTTTTCTTAAAATTCTAAAAATTCATTTATTGTGTGGGCCCATGTATGTGGACATACTCAGGCCTTGGTGAGGATGTGGAGGTCAGAGGACTACTTGTGAGAATTGTTTTTCTTCTATGTCCTTGTGGATTCTGGGGATCAAACTTACGTCATCAGGCTTGGTGGCCTTTTATCCAGCGAGCCATCTCACTGGCCCTACTTTTTAATTTTCCTGGTTGGCTTCTCCTAGTTTGCTGTGTTACTCTGTTCTGTTGCTTTCTTGTTTCTGGGGGATGTGGTGCCCTCTTCTCCTTACTCTGTTGCACTGTGCATGCTTCCAGGCAATGGTCAGCCTCAGAGCAGATTATAGCACAATGCGATATTTTCAGAGACACTGCTCTCTCTCTCTCTTTTATGATTAGCTGTGACTTCTTACTGTACTTGATTTGTAAATTAAGCTTTGCCATAGGCATGTATCTATGGAAGAAATATAGTATGCGTAGGGTTTGATGTTACCTGCAGGATGTCTGGGAACAGGTCTGGGCTGCCAAAGGGGGCTGCTGTGGCTTTCAGATGTGATTGAGTCCGTCTGTCTTGCTGCCAGACACTTGTTTTCTCCTGGATTTTCCTCTCTGAAGTATGGATTGAGACAGGTTAGTAAATTAAGATTTGTATATTCTGACAAAGTAAATGTTTTTCCTCTTGACATCTGTCTTTTCCTTTTAATATACAATGTAACCTCATAACCTGTATGTGCACCCACCTCTGTGTTTAATTATTTCCTTATAGTTAGTAAAATGGATTAAGTAGGAATTCTTGAGTTTCAGAAAGTGTACAAATTAAAGTTCCCAGAGTAGAATATTTCTTTCTTTAAACCTCGACAACGCCAGATTTAGTTGTCATTGTCGCCATCATCTTCTTTGTCATCATCATCATAATCATCGTTGTAGTCAGGCTTTACTCTGTGGAAGTGTATGTGCATATGTCCATGGGTATACCCACAGGATTGGCAATGCAAAGAGTTTAGAGAAAGATTAGAGGGTCAAGGAAAATCTAAGATCAGTGACATGAGAGATAATTGCAAGTATGTTTTAAAAAGTTGGTGGGAAAATCATGGCGAGGTCATGTAGAGTCCAAAGGAGGAATTTCAAAGGTTAGCAGAAAGGGAATAAGGCTAGAACTTTTCAGTCACGAATAAATGCTCACCTCTTGTAGAGGCTTGAGCGTTTCTACCCTGCTTTAAAACAAGTTGTTTAACAGATTACATTTTAGTTGTAATGTGTATTTGTTAGGTTGTAAACACTCAGAGTGTAATGTACATATTATGACTTTATTTTCTTAAGAGTGTTAGTGAGATAAGCTTGATATTTATAGTCCACATTCTCTAACGTCTGTGCATACTTACTCAAACTTGGTATTTTATTGCCTCAGTAAACTTTTTCAGTGGGATTTTATATTCCCAGCTGCTGTAGACAGGCAGCCCCTGCCTCTGCCCCCAGCCCGGATCCTTCCTCGACACATGCTTTGTTTCTGATCAGCAGGAACTGAGGGCTAGGCTTTTGGGGAAAATTATCTTATGTAGTAAAAAAGATTTATTTTATCTTTAGTCTGTGAAAGGCACTGTAATTAGGTACAATGGGGAATGTAGAGACAAGTAGTGTTGGAACTTGTCTTTAAAAGGTGTGCAGTCCAGAAGCAAGATAAGACACAAACGTTAAAAAGCTGCAGGGTTGGGAAGAAATAAATCCTCAGGAGATAGAAAGTGATGTGGACTTAACTAGGTAGTACACTGTTATTTGCTGGTGGCTTAGAGAAAACAGAAATAAGTCACTTATACTTATTTCTCTTTTCCATGAACTTTACTTCACATTAGGTTATGTATCTTTTATGTGGGTTCTGAATTATTGTATGTTTAGTCTTGACAACTAGATTGTAAGCTCTTTGAGGGCAAGCACCATGTCTTGATTTTTTTCTGTTGCTCAGTACAGGCCATGTAGTAGGTACTGAAAAAGGAAGACCTATGTTGGTAAACAGTGTTGTTTGTACTTTTATTTGAAATGCTTTTACTTTTATTCAACACTAACTAAAATTCCATGCTTGGCTCTCAGGTATTTTTGCACCTCTTTCAAAGATAAGTAAAGCGAAAGATAGAAGAAAGACTCTAACACACACGCCTTCTACAAAAGCAGCACCCCTCATCCGGTCCCAGAAGGTTGATGTAGCTCACATCACATCAAAAGTGAATTCTGGTAGGTCAAACTGGAAGTTCATGGGCTTCCTCACCATTTATCATTGTATTTGTGGGATTCCTGATGATTAGACTACTTCACTCTTTTTGATAGCAAAAGCTGATTGCTCTATTTGTGTAAATCTTTTATTCTCTCAGTAGAATTTTAAACTTTAAGTGGACTGTAAGAATATTTTGTTCTTTAGTATGCACTGAAGCACAAAATAGATGTTCACCAAATGCCTGTTAATGCATCAGCAGCTGAGCAGAAAGGCCTGCTACCATCTAAAAGGATTGCGTGCAACACTCTGGTTTGTCTTTCTGTTCTGTCCCATTGGTGGTTTGCGTATCTTTGTGTTAATACTGTACTTCATAATTATGCCACTGTTAAAAAGAATCTTGATTTCCATCAGCAAAGAAAGGTTCCTACCTTATTCTTAAAGTTTGTCTTCCTTATTTTGAGCTTTATAAATCACACTTCCTTATATACTTTAGGATACGCTCTTAGGTGTCTTTAAAAAAGAATCTGTTGAAATTTAAGTTGGTATTACACTTAAACCTTTAATTGATTTGGAAAGAACTGACATCTTTACTGTAGTCTTTTAATTATGTGCTTGGAATATTTGTTATTTAATTAGATCATTAAAAAAATATCTTAATATGGTGGTACAGTTTTCTTTTTCTGTAGATATTTTTTGAGCTGCTTTTTTAGGTCTATTCCCAGATACTTCATGCCTGGGGCTACATAATGAAACCCTGCCCTTAGAGATTTAAAGAATATATCATAATCATACTTTAAAATTTAAAATTCAGGGTGAACGCTCTCCAAACAAGGTGAAAGTTTCAGTAGAGACAAAAATGAAAGTCAAATGCTATGCACACAGGCACACATACACATGTGCATGCATGCATAAGCATACTTGCAAACACATATAAAATAGGTTCAAGAAAATCTGAGGTGATTTGAGCAAGATCAGAGTGTTGAATCAATGTAGGCATCCTGCTGGTGATACTGTCCTGTAGGTTTTTTTTGAAATGCCATCTTTGGGGAAACTGTACAAATATACAAAGGGATCTTTTTATGGCATTTAAAAAGACTTCATGTGTTTAGTTATCTTGATGACAATTCAAATAAAAGGGCCAAATGGGGATTTTTAGAGCTGAAAAATAAAATAATTAAAAAGTAAGAAAACCCCCCACAGCCTGCAGGTTACTTTGTCATTTGGTTTCTGCTACTGTCTCCCACCCTTGTCCTTGGACTGCTGGAGTAGCTCCCATGGCCTCTGCATCCAGCCTTCCTTCCTGTTTTCCTTTTAACTTTTGTTAGAAAAATGTTACACAGCTGGAGTTCTGCTCAGGCAAGTCCTTTCAAATCCTGGCCTAGGTTCTTTACAGGGTGGTTCCAGGGGAGGGAACCTCCTCCTTCCCTGCCCTTCTCCCTCCCCCTTCC